ACGCTCTGGAGAACAGGCGTGTCCCCGGATCCTGATGTATATTCCTTATATACTTATAGGCAGCCACCAGGTCCCCCCTGCTTAGATTGCAACCTACTTAGGAACGGGACCCAGTGTTTATAAAGTGCCTGCAAAATGGGGTCTCAGTTTTACTTGAGATCCCCTACATGCTACTGTAAAACAGTCAACACCCCCGCCCCCATGAAAAAACCCCTATGATATGTTCAGATCTATAACTTTATTAATGAATGTTAAAAGTCCTAGTTATTTACATGGTTTTGTAGAGGCTGAAGAGAACGTAGGACCCTGTGTATGGTAGCTACATGGAACAGAGTTCACGTGTTGATACAATCTAAGACATGCAGTTAGTCATGCAGCCTATGTGGGCCCATCCAGACATGCGTGGACGTTTGGTTCCCCAGGGACAAGTAGCAGTGACGCACCTTGCACCACCGTTACTTGTCCTCAGGGAACCTGTGCCACAGGTAGGGGAGGCTGGGGCTAGCGCTGGGCTGGCCCCAGCAGGCTTACCTGGGGTTCTCCCAGGGCTGCAGCCACATGGAGCCTAGTCAGCAGCCGCAACGCAGCTCCTGGTGGCCCGGCTACTTTTCAGCAGCATGCACTGGCCAAGTGTGTGTTGCCCCGTTTTTTTTTTCCTGCGGGTTTTTTTTTACCCCTGGATATCCAGGGGGCAAAAAAACCTGCAGAAAACCCCCGCCGGCACAGTGCATGCTTGGACAGTACACACGTTGCTGCAAACATTTCCAGCACCACATACCGCATGACTGCACTTGTCTGGACATGCCATACAAGGCTGGTGTACTAGGGGATTAAGAAACTGGTGTATGAAGGGGTTAAGAAACTGCAATAACATGGTGTGATAACAGAGGTAAGGCTCCAAACATGGTAACTGCATCAGTACCAAGTTGCAAGGTGGCTAGACATTGTGAGACCATTGGTGACACACATCATTAGCAGTGCCTGGCAATTGTGTAGTTAGATGAATGAAGTGTCAGGAAGACAGGAGGCTGGACATAAAATCACAGGGCTCTCCATCGTCTTGTCTGAGAGGCTTGCCTGAAGAGAGCCCCACTGCAGACAGAGGCTGGAACACAGAAGGGCCCTGTTGATAAATATGCTTGAAGCCGCAGCTCTGACTTTTTAAGACTGCAGCCCCCCGTCCCCCTTACCTTCTGTGAACGGAGAAACACATTTAAAAGTCGAATGCGCTTATTACAGTGCTTGCTGCCTTGCGGAGGGAGTCAGGCAGGGGGGAGCAGCCAGGCAGGGAGAGCCTGAGCCTGCCCTTATCTGCTTCTCTCCTCACACTGCCTGGGGCACCCTTCAAGGGCTCCCACGACACCTCAGGGTGCCTAAGCTGCCCCTTGCTTGACAATGGCCAGTCTGAAGGACCAAAATGAGGGCTTGGTTTGAAGCTGGAGCACACCTCAACAGGTTTTACAGCAAGAGCTCCCAACACCTCCTGCCTGTCCTGCAGGAGCTTGTTTTACCCCTCAGAGCCCAGGCCTGCCAGCAGGGAGGCGGAGTGAAGGGGCAGGGGCTCCTGCGTTTGCAGGCCAAACCCTCCTGCTCTGCTCTCCCCATAAGCCACGACCCGCTCTTCAGGCCCCCTCCGAGCAGGAGGAGGCGACGGGCCGGGGCGGGCGCCGCAGGTGGCTGCGGGGGCAGAGGCCGCTCCCAGGGGCAGGGCCGGGCCGGGCCGGCGGGGAGCAGGGAGCTGGCGGCAGTGGCGCGGCGGGCGGGGGCGCCCAGGGGCCGGCGGGGGGGGGCACCCGCCCGGGGCGGTGCCAGTGTCCGCGGTGCGGGGGCTCGGCCCCCCCGCCGGCTCCTCCCCCGCCCGGCCGGGCCTCTGCTGCCCCTTTACTGCCGCTTCATTTCCTCGTGCATCTCCCCCCCACCTTTTTTGTTTTTGCATTTTTCATTTTATTTTTCATGTTTTAGTGTGTGTTTCTTTTTCTTCTTGATTTGTCATTTTTGCATTTACTTTTTATTTTACTTTTTCGATTTTTTTTCATTTTTATCTATTTTCATTTTCCATTTTTATTTTTGCCTTTCATTGTTCACTTTCTCTTTTCATTTTTCATTTTCTCTTTTCACTTTTATTTTTGCTTTTCATATGTGAAAAGAGAAAATGAAAAACGTAGAGAAAGTGAACAATGAAAAGCAAAAATAATTTTCACTTTTCATTTTTCACGTTTATTTTCGCTTTTCATTTTTCATTTTGCATTCATTTTTACTTTTCATTTTCGCTTTTCATTTTTCTTTTTTTATATCTTATTTATTTTTATTTATTTTTTAATCTTTTTATTTTGCTTCTCTAGTCAGATGTGCAGGTCCACAGAGGAGCTCCAGCTGCATGGAGATGCAGGACTCTGCTGTACAAGCAACCAGCTCTCCTGCTCCTCCTCTCTGGCAAACCACCCAGATAGGAATGATCCTGGTTCCACTTGACATCATTCATCTTCTTAGAAGTGCCCAATTAAGACCAGTTCAGTGCTGGATCGGGACCACTTTGTTTAAGTGGTTGTTCCATTGTCTCATTCTTTCCCCTAGGAAGGGTTTTCTGATTTTTCAGTCTACATTTTTTCTTGCCCTGTTTCACTGCAGGATTCCTAATTATACTCTCAAGTCATTTTTACGACTGTATTTACAATGGATTTGTACATTTCACAGCATTGGTAAAAGAAATATAGTTGGCACTTAACCAGTGAATAATCCAAATTTGTTGTGGATATAATGACAAATCGTAAAAGATGAGACTCCTCATGTGTCATCTCAGTCAAGATGGATTATTTCTTTCCATGCTGCAATATCAGTTGATGTAAAAGTTAAAAGCAGCTGATTGTAGGTGAAATGCTTTTAAAAGCCTGATATAGCCTGCTGCTTTTGAAGAAAAGCAAGTGTCTGTGAGTTTCTAAGTATTACCACAGCCTCTTGCTTCTAATCTTACTGTATAATACATGCTAAGAATCTGAAATACTGATTAATATTCTTATTTCACACTTTGTAATGTTTGGAATGATAGGGTTGTGCGGTTTCAAAATTGAAAACTTAAGTATTTCAGATCGTATGTTTCCAAACTGTGCCAGGCACTGTACAGGTATAAATAATGTCCTGTCCAAAAGACCTAGGGAGTTTGTTACATTATTAAATTCTGGAAATAAAAGAGAAATCCAGTACTTAGCCTGAACTATGTATTTTTTTAAATCAAATACAGTTAGCTAAAATCAAACCAAAATTGGAAGCCAACATTTACAGCAGGAAAAGAAAATCAAGTTTAGATCCCATTAGGCCTAGACAGTATGTGTTAGCTAAGTCTCATATCAATTTGCTTGCACTTTTCAGTTGAGATGAATCATTAGGTGCCTGACAGAATGGCAATCTCAGCGTTCTCTTGTGTGCCAGGCAGGGAGCATGACTACTGCCTCAGTAACACTTCTCAGTCATAAGGGGACTTGATAACTGAAATCAGGGTCTAGGCATGATGCATGGGGTTTAGTTCTGGACCAGCTATCAGGAATGCTGCTGAATATATTGTTACTCTGTATCCTTCCCATATATTTGTATGGTCAGAACAATTTAGAGAATTTTCAATGAGTCACTGCAACCCAACTCCTTCCTCCTTTTGTCTCTGGCAATTTGGAAAATAAATAAATACTTAAGTAAAAAAACCAACTAACATTAGAAAAACATATCTAAATAGTAGAAACCACACAGTCATTCTGTACTGCTTCCTGTTCTCTACTATTTTTAATATAGCCTTACCCCTTACAGGTATACATTACCGGTAATTACCGCATACCTTAAGAAAACACCTTAAAATGATGTATTAAAATATTCAATCAGTAATGTAGGGTGAGTTCAAGAGTGATTACTGTACTTGGATTTTCAAATGAAGCATTCAGCAATCTACCTTTGAGCCACAGAATGCTTAGTTTTATGCTATTTTTGCTTGCTTATATACTATATTTTGCTAAAATTCAGGAGCAAATAAAGCCTGTGAGTTAGTACGTTTTCAACTTCTCAGGGTTTTTAAGTACTTTATTTGTATCCAGATGACATTGCTAGATGATGCCATTTTGAATATCATTATCCTTTAGAATTTTACCAGACCAGATTCCTAAGTGAATTTCTGATTTGCTCTCGCAGATGATTAACTGCTATTCTCTTCTCTCCTTTCTTCTCCTTCCTACATAGTGGGTGTGTCTACTGTGCAGGAAGCAAGAATAGGCCAGCATCTACACATGCAGGTGTTACAGTGACTTAACACTGTGTGTGGACTGACTTCAGACTAAAGTTAGCCCCAGGTCAGACCACACACGCTGTTACTGCGCAGTAAGGTGTCTACATGTGCGTTACCACACAGTAACTAATCAGGCATAAATTTGATACCTGCATGATGTGGGTATCAAATTTACGCTCAAGTCAGCGTAAGTTGTCATATTTACTATACAGAACAGGCATGCACATGTAGACGCACACCTGTACTGTGCAGTAATTTTGGTTACTGTGCAGTAAATGTGCATATGTAGAAGCATTCACTAAGTGACTACGGTTGGTTTTTTTTGCTTTGTTTTTTAAGTTTCACTGGTGTACAGTAACATGCCGGGGAATAGAAGGAACAAAATGTGAGGACGATTTTCAGTTTACTGTCTTTTTGTTTACAGTCCTCTTCAGTTTAAAGTCCTTAAAGTAGATTGTATTTATTTCTGTAGTATACATGAACATTCACCCAATACCAAGAGTATTGTGTTATGATTTATGCATAAGAAACATCAGAATTACTAGGGCAGGTGGTTAGTAGCAATTGTTAGTGGCTGAATAAGAGATGAAACAGACCATTGTTGGGATGTACTGTAGCAATTTCTACATTTTTAGCCGTTCCATTCCCAGAAAGAAAGACAACGCTTTCCTTTTTTAAGACTAACTAAACACTAGGAAGTCATGTTTAAGTACATTTTCCCTGTGTTCTCTTACAGGACCACGGTGGGGTCACATCTGGCAGAGAAGGTATGGCTTTATGTTATTTTGTCAATTGTAGGACAGCTATTTTGCTTTAAATAGCATTTCTGTTCTCTTCTAGCAAGTCATTGTTGAGTTATAAACTTTGTGATATGTTAAATAATACCCAGTTGCAAATCATTTATTCCATCTCCTCACAAATCAGGTGTATATAGGAGAAGCCATGGCGTAATGTAACATGACTTAGACTTACAAAGCAAGCAGGTGGATTAACTTGTTATTCTTCTTTGTTATGATACCTAGCTTTTATGGCCAATATCATTCTAGAGAAGATGACTCATGTTGTGGTGCAAGAGGCCTTCAGGCATCCAATGACTGTATGTGTTGGGATGCTTTGTTGATAAAATACTGGGATACTGAGAGAGAGATGCATAATTATTTTTTTTTCTTAGCTGGGCTGGAAATTCTATGATGGTGATGACTATCATCCTCCAGAGAATAAAAAGAAAATGGCAGAAGGGATTCCACTAAATGACCAGGTAGTTATATATAATCCTAAAGGCAAAGATGTCAACATGTTTACCTTTCTAATCCTTGAGAAATCATGTGACAGTGAATTGTGCTCTGAATGAGTTTGCAGGGCTCCTTGTTAGGGATGAGGGGGAGGATTCTTTTTTCCCCACTTGTAAACTATTACTTATAAAATATCCCTCCCCAGTATGTGTGGTGCCGCATAAAAAGTAAAGGCATGCCCTTTGATCCAGAGAGTGTATATGTCAACTCAGGATAATATAAAGAGAGAGAGAGAGATAGGGTGGAGAATAAAAAAGGAAGGTCAATGTGACAACAGCATCAGGCTGTCAGTAAGAGATGAAAACATTTTGATGGTTATGTTATTGGATTTGGGTGGGATTTTAAAAAGCACTCAAGAAAGAATTGGCCAAACTTTGCTCCCATCAAAGTATTGACTTCAGTCCCACCATTAACTTTTCCTTCCTATCTCAGATTTGATGGCAAAAGCGGGTTTCTAGAAAGGATTTGAACAGTGCAATTGGAGAATAATAGAGGGGAGTCAAGGCTGGTGTAATCGTTAGCAAAGCTGAGGGGTTGTGGATGTATCCCAGAGAACTCCAGGGGGCTGCCGTATGCATATAGCCACAGGCTGTGGGACTTCCTAGAGTGCTTATCAAACCCTCCTTCAACAAGACAACTAAATCTTTTTGTGGGGAAAGGAGTACTAGGTAAAAGAGTGGCAGTGTTCAATGCAGAATAAGTAACTTGGCTGTCTTTCCTGTTTAAAAATATTTGTATTTTCTGAGAAAAATACCCAGTTTTCAGATGTTTGTGCCATCTCCAGTCTAAATGATGAATGCTTTTCTGTCCCATAGAAGAGTAAGCATTTTTCCATGCAAACAAACCACGCTCCCCAGTCTGGGGACATCTGAAGAGAGGTGGTATGAATAACAATTCATACTTCCTGCTTCTACCTAAAAAAACCCAAAACATTTGACAACTGTCAAACAAACCAAATATTCACAGACTTTTACACTTCTGCCTGTACACTGAGTCACCAGGTTAGGCCCCTGCACAGATACAGATCTCCACAGGACTCAGAAAGGGTCTGTCCACCTGCATCATCATGCACAATCTGGGCACTGGGCCATATCCCGTATCATCAGACAGCTTTGCTTAATTACACACATTAATATTAATACACTGTTAACGCCCTTGGAAGTCCACTTCAACAGCCTACCAGTGGCTAAAATAATTGCTCCTTAAACCTTTATTTTATGTACTGTTTCTTAGACTGGGTTCTCTACTCCAGGTCTGTCCACACCACATGAACAGATTAACAAGCTTAATTTTATTTTAATTTAAAGCATTTGTTAATCTTTCAACATTCTAGGCTTCCTCACAGCTTAGTGTTCACCAAATGTGTTAGCCAGCGTGTTGCTTCATCTTATTGCCCAGTTGAACAGAAAAATCATGCAGCAGAAGACTTTTCAGTAGCAGAATAATTAAACTAAAATAGATCTTCAGTATGGTTAGCATATATGGAATGGGTAACTGAAAAGTTTAGGAAATTACAATAATCTGAGATCTTTTATGGAAGCCCCCTCTTGCCCCAAAACTGCAGTCAGTTCCTGCAATAGCCAGGAACTATCTTCATTACTCGACAGGCTGAATTGGGATACCCTTCAAGGGAAATTGAGAGATTAGAAAGTTTCTACATGTTTGTTTAAAACTAATCTCTATTTAAACCTGGGGAGTTCATTTGAGTTAGCATCTAGAGACAGCTAGTTTAAAGAGCAATAGAGCAAAATGCTGAACAGAGAAGTTTAAGACATTATGCACTGGTACATGATGCCACGCAAGTGCCGTAGATACGGGTGTTGTGAAATTATGGAGGCCTACTTGAAAAAGTATAGGCAGGAAGAGGTTTTGCAGTGAAGAGGGTAGCTCCCCTTACTCTTCCATGCCTTCATTTATTAACACTTGTCCAACATTTCCTAGACAGAAAGGTGAAGCTTGAGCATCCATTTAATGCTGAGCAGTTATGACAAAAGCTTCAGCAAACTTAAAGCTTAAATTGGATGATATTAAGCAGCTAATTGATCATTTTTATTGTATTTGCCAAGCTTATTTAAGCCAAGTGAACCTGTCGTTAGAGGGTACCCCTTCACTGAGCAAAGGTGCTGTAGAAACATGGCAACAACTGAGTTTAGTTCTGATTGCCACTGACATAAATATGATGTAAGTTAATTATCACAGAGAAGTGAATTTAAGTCTGTTTCAGATACCGTAGGGCAGTTCCTGAAAGCCTTGCGTATACCTGATCCAAAGCATGACACATGAATACTAATGTGTTAAGAGAATAAAAAGGTGGGAGAGGTGAGGATGCAAAAACACCCCTGTTAAAACAGACTTAGCTGCTCAATTTATGAGATAAGTAGAGAACAAAATTTCTTGTTCTTTGTCTAAGGTTCACAAACTATTATGTCAAACCAAATAATACATACGTTTGGAATAATAAAGATCATTTCCATCAACCTTTTCTGGCCACCCTTCACATGCAATTCAAAGTAATGAAAGCCATCAAAGTAGATAAAAGCTCACTCCTCCAACTTTCACACAACGATAGTATTTCTGGATATAGAGGCAAGGGGAGTGAGACTGGAAAACTTTATTTGGTACACTCTTAATATATACTGAATAAAGCAGGGGTCCCTTGGAGAATGTAGTATAGGTTCATATAGATAGAGGTAGAATTACTAATAGGTATATGTGTGTGTAGATATGTAGAAATGTATCTGTATGTATGTATGTATACATATATGTATATACACATGCACACACATGCTCTATAAGCAATTGACAGATAAATACCAAGGTATACAATTACTAAGCAACTTTAATTCATGCATGTGCATGCACATGCATAAGTTTGCGTGTAGAATTAAAATTGCTTAGTAACTGTATATTTGGTATCAGAGCCGACCCTGGGGGTGTGTGGGGCCCAGCGCATATCAGCCTGTGCAGGAGTGGCGAGCAGCCAGAGCGTGAAGGCGGTGGTGCACGGTGACCACGTGGAGTGGTGGCACCTTTGGCGGGGCCTGTACAGCACTGATCGCAGGGCCCCCTAAAGCTCAGGGCCCAGGGTGGTTGCCCTGATTTGTCACCCCACTCAAGGGATCGGTCTGCTTGGTATTTATGTTTTAGTTGCTTTACTATATCGCAAATAGCTTTACATTAACAGATTTTGTAGATAAGCTGTCCATTAAATATATATACATACCTTGGCAATCAAAGGCCTGGAACTAAAATGATGTAGAGTGGTATTTTAATTTATTGTGTTTTCAAGTGTTAAGAATTCCTATTCATTTGCTGGTAAATTCACTCTGTTCTGGTACTATGTTCTGTCAAAGGAAGTTTATGTAACTGAGATGTGCTTTTGGATTTTGTGAATGAAATGAGAAAAGGTTGGTCTTGGATGTAGAAATGGTACTGGGTCAGTTTGTTGATTTGGCTGCAGAAAGAAGAAAAGTGGCCTATTTGTGTTATCACAACTAAAAAGAAACTGAAAGAGATCTAACAGGTTTCTGTTGGAATCTAACTGCTACATGGATAGTAGAAGCAACTATTTTAAGTAACTTCAGAGAATACTTAAGTTAACTTGTTTTGTTTTTAGGACAGGATCCCATGGCTTTGCAAATTACATGATATATTAATGAGGTAAGAGAAACTCACTTACAATAAGGATGCACTGTAATGATGATTGGCCCAAGACAAATGCAAGGATGTTTTCTTTTTCCACGGCATTCTGGGAGACAGGCGTATTTAGCCTTGTAATCATATTACACAGTTAATAAAACTATTCTATATTCTGTGAGATGCTTTAATAGTTACTGTCATAGTAAAACTGGCCTCTAAAGAGTACCACTGTTGATAGAACTGTTTGGGAACTAGTTCTTTCTTTGCCCTGCATACAAGAACTTGACATTTCTAGGGGTTGATTCACTAACAAACCTGACATCAGTTATGCCTAATGGATGCACCCACAGAAAACAGACTGTATTAATTGGGGGCAAAAAATTCTGAAATGCTGCAGTGACTTTGGAAATTAGGTTCCATTGATTTTCTGTCATTGGAAGCCCAGGTCATTTCTGAGCATGGAATTGAACCTCTGAAGTCACTTAAGTGTTTTCATTACTTTTATCCTTTGTGACTTCCTGCAGTGGACACAGCTGTTGTTAAACCTTGCAGATATGCAAGGAATAGGGTCCATATTGGCTACTTGCCTACTGAATATAAGCCATAGAAATTTTTAAACAGCACAGATGGTCGCAACTGTAACTGATCCCAACATGCTTTTCTAGTCACAAAAACATTTCTGTGATACTCCTTGCCCCTGTTTTTACTCACACCGTGAATCGAAGAAGGAGGGGGAACAGAACCAACAACAGTCCCTTTACTTTGGATACTCTAAGGGTGCCAGAGAGGTAGTAGCACTTCTTTGATCCCAGTATCCGAGTTTAAAAAAAATAAATAACCATGACAGAAAGCTTCATCAAGATAGTCACTTCCCTGTGGGCCATTTGAAACTTATAGTCACAAAAATACATTTATTCTAAAGAACTCTGCAACATTACACTTATAATCAATTCTGCAAAGTGGGTTGCTGGTAACTGTTGTCTCCAAAAGCAGGGTTAACTCAGATACCATTGTTAGCTCAAATAACATATCTGCAGGGATTTTTCTATTCTTGAGCTCTAGTAGATTTCTCTTGAGTAAGTAGCTTTCCAACTGAATCAATTTTTTCTCCTGCACATATGTATGCCAAAAAAACAAAGTGTTTTTTTGTACACAGTGTCATAATTGCCCAAAGTCATCAGCAACCTGAAGTAAGATTTTTAATAAGCCAAAGGCATTATTGTCCCTGGGCAAGCTGTTCTTTCACTGTGCTTCCCATATTACAGCAGCTGACTGCCTTTTTAATAATTAAGGACCAAATGTTACAGCAGAGGTTCAAAAGGACTTCAAAGCTGGGAAACTGCCATAAAAAGCCTGCAGAGAAACTATTCTCTCTATGTACTGTTGGGCAGTGCTCAGTGGTAGCTTTTTCTGCATCCCTGAACAATGAGAAACTTTTTAAAAACAGTGGCCAAAAATCCCATCACTGAGCTGGGACTGTACTGCTTACACTAGCAATAGGTGTTCCTCTACAAGAACTCCTTGTCCTGGTATAGGTAGGTTTTCTCTCTCACTCCTCAAAAAAAATCCTCTTTCCTGTGGTTTTGTACAGTCGTCAGTATTTGGCTCTAAGCAGTAAGTGGTTCTGCCTTGTTGGAGCAAACTGACCAATTTTAAGTACTGTGGAATTTGACTCGATTTCTTTTATCTTGGAATATGATCCTTGTTTGCCCTCTGGCGGGCCTCCAGCTGGGGCCACTGAGAAGCTTGAATGGATCCAAGCTAATTTACAGAAGAGGTTGTTTGACTGTACCTTTTGCACAGTCTGAATTCAAAGAACTTATAAATGAAGCTGGAATGGTCTTGCAGAGGTGAAAGTGAGGTACCGCATCTTTTTATCCTCTTGGGAAATCAGGACCTGTAACTGCAACCCAAATTTAACAGAACATATATACATTGAGAGTAGTCACATTCACTTACTATTATCTATAATTGCATCACAACTTGACTGCAGAATGTGTGTTTACTTTCACCTGAGCAGATATTTCAGTCACCTGTTTGCTGACTTGAAGGTTGAGTTTGTGATTGCCAATATGACTGGCACTTTTAGGAAGCTTTTAATTCCTTGAGCAACTTGGAAGACTGATGAGTGAGGATACATGCAACTTTCCCAGTAATGTTAGCTGTAGCAGTGTGGTTAAGGCAAACTATTTAGTTTGGTGCCTTCAAAAACAGGTTTTGGCATTTTGCGGGCATGTACATTTAAAAAAAATAAAACTATGTACTGTTCAGTATAGACTTACGATCCAAACAAACATTTGCAGTTAGCCTCAAGCTATTCAATAGCTTTCTTGTTGAGCACTTAAGGAATAGGATTGATGACAGTCCTTTTGGAAGGATGGTGGCCATTAGGTAGGCTCCAGAAGCTGGAGATGATCCCTATCAGGATTAAATATATATTTTTTAAATCTTGTTTTTCAAACAACAACAACAACACAAGAAAAAGTATTTCAAATTTGATCCGAGCGATCCCTAGAGCTGTTCTATGCAAAGATGTATTGGTTTGCCTACCCATTGCTTCTTGAGGCCAGTCCAGCAGTTTTGACTACACCAAGTATGGGCATGATGTTTTTGTTAAAGTACTGCTCACTGTTGTCTTCTCTTGGTAGGGAAGAGTCATCTGGACAAAATGCCATTCTGGCCTGCTCTGCTCTGAAGAAAATGTATAGGCGCATATTAATAAGTGGAACAGAGGCAGCATATTCTAAAAACGATGAGTTAGAAAAACAAAAAGAAACTGCTGCAGGGAAGATCCTCTTTATTCATTTGGATGGACCAAAGGAACTCATCGCTAAACGCCTGGAGAAGAGGAAAGGACATTTTATGCCGTCTGAATTACTACAGTCTCAATTTGATGCTCTAGAGCCCCCAACAGCACCAGAAAACTTTATTACTATCAGCCTGGAGAAGTCGGTTTCAGAAGTAGTGTCTGAAATTGTGAAATCTCTTCCTTTAAAGTGATACTTTTTCAGAGCACAATCTGAATTAAACAAACATCAGCTTTCTTAGCCATGTCAGATTTGTGAAACAGCATTTTAATTGCTTTCTCAAGGTAATCAATACAATTTGAAATGCTCATTTAATTTTCTTGGTGAACTTTCAGGGTGCTGCAATCCTAAAGCCTGTTTTTGCTATTGCTGATATTTCTGTGAAAGCAAGTTAAAACTCAGGTGGAATTCTCAGAAGCTGTCAGTATTGATCTGACCCTTCTCCAACATCCGTCAAAGTTAAGACTTGCATTAATTCTGATGCAGACCAAAGTCAGCACAGAGCACTTTCAAAGATCCCGCGAAGGGTGATTAGACAGAGATGAGAATGTTAACCCATTTTCACTATTTTTCCCGTCAGAACAGAAGTTGGCCTAAGTCATCACTCACTAACATTAAGTAATGAAATCATCAAACTGTTTTTAAGAGGAGTCAGAGTTCTCTACTAGTGCAAGGAAGCAAGAGACCAATGACTGGGCTCTTTTCCTGAAACTACCATTGGCTTATTGCCTCATTTTGAACAAGTCTCAACTTCTGTGTCTGTGTCCTCAACTGAAATTACTTATCCCCCTCACAGGAGTGTTGTGCATCTTCACTGATTTTTTCTTAAACACTGACTGCTAGTTGGAAAGAAAGGGCTTTGCAACTGCAAAGTATAATTCTATCTACATCTTTAAAAATAAACTCTTAAGTGACCTTGCATAGATGGTGAACTAGTGTCTTTCATTTGCAAAATTGAAGCATTGAGGAAAGAATGACAAAACACTGGTGGTTTTTCAACCTTTTTAGATTCAAGGTATCCCCCAGAAAGTACCAACTCTTAGCTTTCACTTATTTTTGACTATGGAACAATAATAGAGAGCAACTATAGAGTTAGGACCAGCAACTCAGAAAGACCACACCAGGTCAGAATATTTTCGATGCTATGAATATCTATTTGAAATTTCCGGGTTTATCTTGTGAATCATGTATGGGTGTTTGCACACCTAGCAGTACTAATATTGTGCAGTACCCTGGGGCACCCTTGAAAAAAAATCTCATGGTACCCTGGTTGGGAGTCACAGCAATAGACATGCTGATGAAATGACAGAGAGAGAAAGAGGGAGAATGTGTCAGCCAATGAAATATGATTTAAATACCATTGAGTTCACCAGTTCAGGAGTGATAGATGTTCCCACTCTTTGGGGTGAGTAATGGGTAGCTAAACAGAGTGATTTTTTTCCGGTATTCTTTCTCCCTCTCCCCCCAGCTTCCAGTGTTAAGCTTACATTAAAAACTGTAGTTATCCTGTGCCAAGATTCAGAGGTGATGTGAGGAAAGGCAAGAGTGAAATAACCCTCCTGTGTAAGGGAGTCTCACTTGAGATTGGAAGCTGTGTATTTCTGCCCACAGGCCATCTTTAGATTCTGAATAGGGACAGCATGCAAGAAATCCAGTTTCTTAATTTCTAATATTCTTCACCATCTAAAATAGTGGGTTACTTAAGAGTCATTTGGTGTACCTACCCAGCAAGGCTGTAAACCCTGTTAGAGTACATCCATTCAGAAGGAACTTTTTAAAAAGCTTGTTTACTTCATTGTAATTTGCAGTGGATTATGTTCCAAGTCATTATTAAAATTAAGAATATGCCCCTGTGGCCTCAATCTTGCATATAGTCATGGACAGAAATGATCCTACTGAAGTCAACAGAAATATTCACATAAACCATGTCATGCACATGTGCCAGTCTGCAGAACAAGGGGCTGAGAGAGCCAATCCAATATATAGTCATAGCCAGATATTTTTTATACAATCAAATAGTTAAAAAGATTAAGGTAAAAATGTACTTTCCATTTCCCATGCTTAGTTTTGCATATACAATTTTTTCCAATTACAATTATGTAATTCACTGAATTTAAAGATAAAACCTCATTTAATTTCTTTTAATCAACAAATAGGTTCAAAATCCCCTTTGCCATGGGCTCAACAAACCCCAACCTTTATTACCCTCCTTGACACCTACTTCAAAGACCTTGTCAGATGCATTTCTCATGAGAGTCATTCTTCAGGTAAAGTACAACTGGACAGAACCTTTCTGACACGCTGCTAGCTATGCATTACCAACTTTAATTGTCTTGTTGCAATCTTGTTTCCTTGATTAATAAGATTGGCTCACTTCCTTTTAGGTGAGGAGAGTGACCCTATAAGGGCCCCTTCAGAAAAAAAAAATGTCCAGGTTGTTAATTCAGTTATTATCAGTTACAAGATGTTTATACCTCATTTCTCATCTTCTAGTACCAACCAGATTTGCTCTTGTAGTTGTGGTGTGCTACCTCCTTTGCAAAGTGGTGTGAGTGAGCAACTGGAACAGCAGTGATAAAGAAACCTCACTGCAGCCGGCAGATCACAGATTGCTACACATCTGGTGGGTATTTTTTTCTGCCAATCTCAGACAGCCAGACAACAAATGGCAGAGAGATGATTCTTACTGCACTGTTATCTCTAGTCAGCATTCAAAACCCTTATTTCATCCCAAAAATCTATATCCAAACCATTTAGTTTCAGTGTGAATGAGTCCTAAACTAACCCCTGCTTCATCTTACATTTTTTTCTATACATCTTGTACACAAAGAGCTCAGGATTAGTCAGTGAATCAGATAAAACTGGCAGCCAACTAGGCTCCATGCAGATTCCCAGCACCCGTATAGTTCAGGCAGCATTCAGATCCCAAGTTTAGTTCAAGCCCATCCATAGTTTATAGACTACACTGGTCCTCCAAAACAGAGATGTTCAAGTAAATGGCACCCTCTTGTGGTGCTTATGCTAGGTAAAACTTACACATAGCTATCACACATTCAATCAGCAAACAAATAGAGTCTAGTTTCTGGCCACTGGGCTGTATAAGAACTATATTTGGTTTCATAAAGACTGAAGGAAGTAAACAATTCTGTACATTTAAATCTCATATATTTATTGGAAACTGCTTACATCAGATCTCATATGTGATCAAGCCTCCAGATTAACCTTTAGCCTCCATAACCCAAACAATACGTATTAAGACACTGATATATGTGTATGCTAAGTTGGGCTCCAACACCCATAGACAGGCATCTAAAATAATCTGATTTTCAGATGGCACCCAAAAATCACACTGACATTAATAGGACCCAAGCACCTTTGCTAATTCAGCCTCTTTAAAGCATCCACATTTGACAGTCTGAACCACAGGTATTTCCCTATTAAGACCAAGGACATTAATTGTGTAATGAATTGGTTACAACCCCCCACTCTCAGTTTCCCAGCACTTAAAATTACCCTTCCTAGACTGAGGAAACTTTAAACACCTGATTGCACAAATTAAGTCATGATGTTCCTTGCAGGAGAACACTCCCTGCTTGTTTGTGCTCTTTTATTTCAAAGCAAATGATTTCTATTCCCAGATCAGTTGTTGACAATAAACAAAGCCAACTGTTTAAGTGATTCTACCTTTAACATTATCAAGACCAGGTGCCGATTCTGCTATTGTAGCTCAATGCTTTCTTCTGGTATGTCCTATTAGTTCCCAGTTGAAGGTCATACAAACACCCAGTTACAGTTGAAGATGAAACAAGATTTGCAGTGGCTTACTTCTGCTGATCTCTACAACAGCCAAAAATTCCCAAGCTGTGATTTCTGCCACCACTCCCACAGCTAAATTACCTTGGACTCTTTAACTCTGCCTTCCAGTCTCATGCTTCACAAGAATGAGGTTTGTAGTAGGCAATTGGTTAGGTACTCAGAGCCATGCTTAGCGTAGTTTGTAGCAGCAACAGAAGGAATTGGGACAAGCAACATTCATCTGTCACAACAGGGCTAGGGAAGAGTTTGTTCTTCTGTCTCACACAAGGTGAGAGCTGGATCTGGGAGAAGAGACATCAGGACCTCTCCTAACAGGAAAGCAGCCTCCAACTGGTACTCACAAAAGGAAGTGGGTGGGATGTTTTTTTTCTTTACAGGAAGCAGGCAGCAACAAGCTTCCTTTCTGTCTTTGCCTTCCTCCTAGGATTACTATATGTCCAGGTTTTCCTGGACATGTCTTCTTTTTGGGTCCTCCGATCTCTGTCCGGGCTTTTTTTGGGGGGGGTTAAAATATGAACAAATGTCCAGGATTTTGCCCTGCTAGTCCGTTTTTGCTATCCATGCTGGTAGGACTGTATTTCCCGGCTTGCCCTAGCAGCATGCTTGTTTACCAGGGATCTGGGTTTTCTGTTTGCTGAGGAAAAATGCAGATTTTCCTCTTTAAAGGAGGAAACCAAGGGTATCTCTGCAGGCTGGCAGCCTTCCAGCCTGCAAGGAGCCACTTGGGGTTGGGGGGAACCAGGGGAGGGTGATTGGACGCAGGGCGCACCAAGTGCATGTGTGCATGTACACACACAGGGCCAGCATACAGCCAGGCAGGGTGGTGGGAGCAGCCCTGGCAGCTGGATGCAGGTAGGTCTATGGGGGTGGGTTGAAGGGCCAGGGCTTGGATATTGTCCAGGGGCTCGTGGGAGTAGCGGCATGTGTGGCAGGGGTGTGTAATTGGGGGGGAGGGTGCCTGCCAGTGCTGGGGGAAGGTGTCTGATGGGGGGGCAGCAGCGAGCTGTGTGGCCAGGCTGGCGATGCCAGGGCTGATGCCCATGCTCACAGGGGCAGGGCAGCCAGGAGATGCTGCCGGGGGGGAAGGGGGGCGGGGGAGGAACTGAGGCCAGGCCACCTGGCACATTGCAGGAGCCCCAGCTTAGGCCAGGGGGTGCCACATAGCTCAGCTCCACTGCCCTCCAGTCTGCACTGGAACTGGACTCATTCCACCGCTGCCCGCATGAGTCAGAGTTGTCACAGCCGCCACACTGCAGCATGGGCAGGACGGAGGCAACTGGCGGCTCCCTCCAGCAGGCCTGGGGGGGTCAGGGGGCTGTGGGTTGGGAGTGAGGCGCACCGGCAGGGGATAAGACTGGGTTGGGAGTGCAGGGTACTGGCAGCACCAGGGGGGTGGTAAGTCAGGAGTGAGGGCAGCAGCAGAGATGGAGGACTGTGGGTCAGGAGTGAAGGGCACTAGCAGGGCTGGGGGGGCTGTGGTTTGGGAGTGTGGCTTGGGGGTATGGGCAGGGGCAGGGCACCAGCATATTAGGGTTGCTCAGCGCCACAAAGCAGCAGTGGGGACAGCTGAGAAAGACGCACCCTACAGACAGGTATACATGGGCACAACCGGAAGAAATGCAGGAGGACAGGACTGACAGCATGTAAAAAGGTACATTTTAAAATTTTCTTTACAATTATTTTTGCTTTACATTTAACATGAGACAATAACACTTATTTACTGTAACAGATAGAAACTGCCCCCCCCCCCCCAAGACAGGTGCCCTCTTTTTTGGACCTGGAAATATGGTAACCCTACACTTCCCCCTGCCTCCTGGATTATTATGCATTTCAGGAAGTCAAGTCCACTCCCTCTGTATTCCCCTCCCCCTTCAGATCCCTGAGAAGGAAGGACACATCTCTCCCTGGTCATCTTCAGACTGCTGCCATTTGAAGCCGGAAAATCCAGTTTTCAGGAACTGCTGGTCCCTGGCACCAGCAATCATGCAAAACATTTCCATCGTGGGAAATGCAAGCTATGGTGTTATTAGGCTAAATCATAATCGCCATAAAAGCAAGCCATGTTATTATTAGGCTAAGTCACCCCAGGACTACAAATAGCCT